AAGTAATGCGGCTCGGGCCAGTGGTGAGGACCTGGCCCGAGTCAATTTTCAAAACACTTGGAAAAATCATTAATAGATTTTGTACTTCAAATATTTCTTTATTAATCTTTTGCGAGAGAGATCTCAAAAAATATTCACATTAGTTATTCAAAGCTTCATGCTCGTATAATTTAATAAAGTGAACCATACTTATAATCAACCATCCTTTTTTTTTCTTTCTAAAATATGGTATAGATGGATTGTTTCTTGGAAATCATCTTGGATGGATGTTGATATCCAATAATTAACATTTCAATTAAACAATTTAAATATGTACTAATTAAAATTAAGTCCAAAAAATCCATCTCAAAAATAGAATTTACCGGGTCCAATTCATATTCCGGAAGACAATTCAGTTTGAGTTTACCGCTAGGGGCTAAAAAAAATTCACAAAACCTCGCCACTCTCTCTCAAAGACCTAACTGCTCTCTAACCTCACTTGACACACTCTCTCAACCCCTGCAACCTCTCTCATAGACCCACAAGAAATGATCCATTTGCAAGCTTTCATATTCTTCAACAAGGTAAGTTTTTTGTTTTTTTTGCTGGTGTTCACTTTGTTTTGTTGGTGGTTTTTCTTCGTCATAGTGTAAAGATTCTTCACTAAACAAGGTAGGGTCTCCCTCATACGAATCCTCAAACAAAATGCCTCATCTTCTTCAACATGAGTATGGGTTTTATTCTTGTGATTTTTTTGTTTTTTTTTGTGCTGATATTTTTAAGCACCAATGCAAACATTTTTTTATATGATTTTCCCATGGAATTTGTTGCTTTTTTATTTTTGAATTATTTTGTTGAGTATAAGAGCACAATTTGTTCTGTAGAAAAATGTGGGTATGTGTTTCTTTTTGTTGTATTTTCTTCGGTTGTTTTTTATTTATTGTTGGTGTTTTTCATTTTATAGAAGCACAATTTGCACTTTATAGCACCCATGTGATATATTAGAGAGAGAAAGTCACTTTTTAGAGAGAAAGAGAGAGGGAGGGAGAGAGAGGAGCTCCTAGTGTGAGAAGATGTGATTTTCAAATGTATTTTCTGTGTATCAATAGAAGGGAAATACAAGAATATATACAGAGAACTTACACGATTTTCTCCATGAATTTGGGAGATAAATCTGGAGAGATAAAATACACGATTTTCTCCATGAATTCGGGAAGAAAATCTGGGGAGAAAAAATTCACTTTTCAATATGTGTAATAGTTCCCCTCAAGTTGGAGCGTGGAGGTTCTTAATGCGCAATTTGACAAGTAAGAATTTGAAATTCTCTCGACCCAACGCCTTGGTAAAGATATCAGCCACTTGGTGTGAAGAACCAACAAAGGCCTTGTTGAAGCTTTTCTCGTACAAGATGGCATTCCAGTTCTATGTGCTTTGTGCGTTCATAATATACTGGATTAGCCGCAATATGAAGGGCCGCTTGGTTGTCACAATAAAGAGTCATAGGCTCATTATGAGAAATGCCAAGGTCTTGAAGTAAAAATTTGAGCCATTGAAACTCACAAGAAACTAATGCTATGGACCTATACTCGGCCTCCGCAGATGAACGTGAAATTGTGCTTTGTTTCTTGGTTTTCCAAGAAATTGGAGAGGCGTCGAGGAAAGTGCAGTATCCTGTAGTAGACTTACAAGTCATTGGACAACTAACCCAGTCATAATCACAATAGGCAGTGACATGAAGAGCCGGAGGCAGATAATAGAATACCTTGGCCAGGACTACCTTTGATATATCTAAGTAGTTTGAGGGCAGCATCCATGTGAGGTTTGCGAGAGTGTTGCATAAATTGACTCAGAATGTGAACTAAATACATAATATCTGACATTGTTATCGTCAGATAAATGAACTTGCCCACAAGCCGACGATATGGAGAAGGATCGTCAAGTAAATCATTGTTCGAATTGTTAAGTTTTAAATGTTGTTCCACTGGGAAGTTACTAGTGCGTGCTCGTAGAAGTCCCACGTTGTCAAGTATATCTAAAGTATATTTTCTCTATGTGAGATAAATACCCTTTGATGAATGAGCCACTCCAATCCCCAAGAAGTATTTTAGGGGACCAAGGTCTTTGATAGGAAACTTACTATGTCAATACTGCTTAATAGTCTCAAGGGAATCGACAACATTACTCGTGATTAAAATATCATCAACATATACAACATTGAACACATAGTGGGACCCTAAAATCTTGGTGAAGAGTGAGTAATATGCCTTAGATTGCTGAAAGTCAATTATGTGTAAAGCATAAGAGAACTTAGCAAAACCAATTTTTTGATGCTTGCTTCAAGCCATATAAAGATCCATTTAAAAGGCAGACTTTGTGCTCCCCCCGTCTGAAAAAACCAAGAGGAATCTTCATATAGACTTTCTTGGCAAGGTCCCCATGTTAGAGGGCGTTATTAACATCGAGTTGTTCAACATACCCTCCCTTTATAACGGCTAGAGCAAGTAAGCAATGGACAGTGACCAATTTTGCCACTGGGGCAAATGTCTCTTGATAGTTGAGGCCCTCCACTTGAGTATAACCCTTAGCGACTAGACGGGATTTATACCGTTCAACACTTCCATCAGCATGGTATTTAACCTTGTAGATCCACTTATATCTAATGACCTGTTTGCCAGGTAGGAGAGATGTAAGGGTCCAAGTATGATTATCTTCAAGGGCTTTAATCTTCTTGGCCATTACCTCTCGCCAATCAAGGACTTTCACAGCTTGGGAGAAGGGAGAAGGTAGAAGGTTAAAGAATGGTCTAGACAGCTTCAAGGAAAGCTTGATGGGAAGGTGAGAAATTATGAAAAATCTATGAATTTGGAAAGTGGAAAAGTTGTACTTATAGTGCATGTCACTGAAGGAAATGGTATGCATAACGGTGTGGATTGGGTACAGAAGGAAGGTTGGGAAAAGGAACAATAATAGTCCTTAAGATGGGCAGGTGGTTTATGGGCTCTAGTGGACCTGTGAGGTTGATCTTGGATATTATTACTGGGTAAAGGAGAATTGGAGGGCTAGGTGGGATCCGGTAGGGGTAAAGTGGAAGGCGGGCGAGATGGTGGTGGCAGGTGCAAGTAAATGTTTTGAGAAGGAGAAGATTGTGTCAGGTCCGAAATCGATGATGGTGGGCCATGACAGGGGCAGGTAAAGGTAAGACACGGTTGGGGTATGTGGCATGGTGTTGGATGTTGGAATATGGGAAAACATGCTCATGAAAAATGACATCGCGACTGTTGTACGTTTGACGAGTGGCAATATCAAAGATTCGATAGCCCTTTTGAGCAAAGGGATAACCGATAAAAATACCCGATTTCGCACGTAATCAAAATTGTCACGGTGATGAATATTATATGCAAAACACAAGCAATCAAAAACACAGAGATTGTTATTGTTGGATTTGGCATGGAATAAAATTTCACAAAGGGACCGATTATGCAATAGAGGGGAACGAATGCAGTTGATTATATAGGCAAATGACACAATCTCCCCAAAATTCAAAGGAAAGATTTGCCTGAAATCGTAAAGCCCGTGCAACTTCAAGTAAGTGATGGTGTTTACATTCCACTACACCATTTTGTTGTGGTGTAGCAACACAACCTGTTGGTGTATAATTCTTTGGCTTTAAACAAATGGTTGCATATCTTTGGGGAAAAATTCACTCCCATTATCAGAACGAACAATTTGAATTTGGAAGTGGAATTGGTTTTTAATAAGAGCAAGAAACATTTTCAAATAAAAATTAACTTGAAATTTGTGTTGCATGAGATATGTCCAAGTAGCACGTGAGTAATCATCGACTATAGTAAGAAAACATTTAACACCACAAAGAGAAGGAATAGAATATCCTCCCCAAATGTCTATATGAATCAAACAAAATGGAGCATTGGAAGTAATGCTACTTAAAGGAAAATGTAATCTAGTTTGTTTTGCAAGGAGACATATATCACATAATTTATTATTGGAAACTGAAATATAAGAAAAACTAGAAGCAAGATGATGAAGGCGAGAAGAGGAAATATGCCATAAACGCCAATGCCACAAATCGATGGTTGGGGAAGTAATGGTGAAGGCAGCGGGCATGAGTGGTAGTTGGAGGAAGTATAATCCACCTTGTTTTTTACTCAATCCAATCGTCATCTTCTAGGACAGGTCTTGCAAGATACATGAGTGAGGGAAAAAAGTTATGGAATAGTTGAGATTCTTTGTGAGTTGATTCAGAGATAAAAGATTTTGCTTGAATGAAGGAATACAAAGAACATCATGTAAGGCCAAAGAAGGGGACAAATGTAATGAGCTAATATGAGAAATGTTGGTGTGCTGTCCATTAGGTAAAATAACATGTTTAGATGAAGCAAGAGGGGTGGATTGTGATAGTAATGAAGGATTACCAATCATGTAATCAGTAGCACCACTATCAATAATCTAATCAGAAAAAGAGACATTAAAGGAAAAGTAGTGCTTACCATAAAGATTAGCTGCAGAATTGGAGCTACCTAGGGTAATAAGAGAGAGAAGTTTGTGGTATTATTCAGGCGTGAAAGGCATGGCCTGAGTGGAGGAGCCATCACAGTCAAAAGTGGGCATGTTGGCTAGTAGGCCCACATTGGAAGGTGCTTTAGCAGTTGCAGCTAGCGAGAAAGTGTGACATTGTGGTTGAAAGGAGGACATTGTTGACATCCACCTCATTGCTGCTGCCTGTTGTTACCTCTACATTTTGGAAAACCATGGAGTAACCAGTAGTGTTAGATAAGGTGATTATCATGCCCACAATGAGTGTAGCCTCCTTTTTTCTATTGCTGTTGTATTGAAGAAGGTTCAGGGGCAGGACTGCTCTTACGAGTAGCAGCCATGGCAGAGCTCTCAACCAATGTTTTTGATTGAACATGCAGAGTGCACTACCTTTCCTCTTGCAGCAGTAGATTATACGCTCTGTTTACTGCCAGCAAAGGATCCATGAGAAGTATCTGGCTACGAATCTAGTTGTATGAATCATTGAGACCCATAAGAAATTGCATCAACCGTTGTTGGTGTTCATAAGTTGTAGATTTAGAGGCGCCGCAGGAACATGGTGGAATAGCAGAGATATATGAAAGCTCATCCCAGTAGGATTTGAGCTTACTAAAGTATGTGAGAATAGAAGAATTGTCATGCTGCAGAGTGGCAATGCAGCGAGACAATTCAAAAATTCTCGATGCTTGGCTTTGAGAAAATCGTTCTCGCAGTTCAAACCAATCATCATGTGCTGAAACACCATTGTTGATGCTGTTAAAAATGTCTTCAGAGACAACATTAAGTAATCAAGATGTGACCATATCATTGGCCCTATCCCATTGGTTAAACATAAAAGAGTCTATAGTAGGTTGAGGGAGAGAACCATCTATGAAACCCAATTTTTTTTTGGCATTCAAAGTCATAAGCATAGCACACGACCAGTTGTAATAGTTGTCGCCAGTATGAACTTTTGATACAAGAACAGTCCCAGGACTATCCGAACGGTGAATATAATATGGGAAAGGAGAATAAGCATCATCAGAGATTCCAGAAAGAATATTGGAAAGCCCTATCTCAGAAGATGGGGGTGGTGGGGATTCATGAGAGGAACCCAATGCGAGAGTGGGTTCTGTCATGGCAGTTGAAGAAGAAGGAGAGCAAAGAAGAAAAACGAAGAAGAGGTGCTTGTTAGGGTTGAAAGACACAATTACATCAAGGGTCTCGGTCATTCACGCTGTGACTTAATTCATGGGATATACAAAACTCTTCGTTGCATCCAAAAAACATGCACTCTCTCTTCTAATGAGAAGATGAACAGAGGGGTTCCTAATGAGAAGATACTCTACAATAGAATTAATTTGCAAAGGAAAAAAATGACATGAGCTTGACATGAGAGATTTTAAAAAGAAGAGAGAGAGAGAGAGAGAGAGAGAGAGAGAGAAGCACATTGCCGCACTGAGAAGCAGAAGTTGTGAATTCCTGTTGATTTCATGCCATAATTTTCTTGTGTTGCCACTCTGCTTTCTACAAAAAATGGTCAACGCTCCTTGCATGAGGTTACCCAGTACAAAAAGAAAAAGGGAAGAGAGCAGCTACCCAAGGCAATAGAAACATGCAGTTGGAAACTTCAGAAAGAGAACAACGCTTCTGTCTAGAGAGAGAAACTAGATCTAATATTATAAAATTGTTGTCTAGAGAGAAACTAAATACAAAATAAAGTAGGACTTTGAGAGAGAGAGAGCATAATCTGCTCTGATACCATGATAAGATGTGATTTTCAAATGTATTTTCTATGTATCAATGAAGGGAAATACATAAATATATACAAAGAAGTTACACAATTTTCTCCATGAATTTGGGAGATAAATCTGGAGAGATAAAATACACAATTTTCTTCAAGAATTTGGGAGGTAAATCTGGAGACATAAAATTGACTTTTGAATAAGTCTAATACATTGTTTCTGCAATTTATGGAACAAAAACTCATTCCAAGTCCGCCATTTTTGTGAAGCTCCAAGCTTTGTTTTTGTTGCGGAAGCCTTTGGTCCAAAGATTAAAGTTAATTTCATGTCCTTTTGGTTATGAATTTTACACTTTAAAGTTTCCACTTTTGAAATTTTAGTGCAGATGATCATTTTTAGCAATATCAGGGAGATCTTCATTTTCTAAAGAGAAAATTGTAGTAAACTAATTAGTTTATTATCTTTCTATTTTGAGGAATTTCTGATAATTATAGCATTGATTTGATTTCTTTTATTTGAGGGATTTCAGAAAATTTATGAATTGTGAAATTTGAAATTTTGATGAATTTTGATGCAAAAGAAGAGAATTTAAAATGCTCTCAATATTTGAAGTCTGAAAATTTGATGAGTTTTAAATGCTCTCCTTTAATTATTACTTTAAATTTCACTCCAATAGAAAAAATATTGGACTTGCATTTCTCATTAAGTTTACACTTTTCCCTGTTATTTGTCATTGATTGCTTAGACATTATGTATGTCATGAGCAATGTTCAAAAAATTGACTCAGCTAAGATACTCGAACCTGGCTGAGGCGAGTCACTCGGCCGAGTCCGAATACCTCGGGTGAGTTCATATTGTACTAAAAAAACGGGAATAATGGACATAAATGAGGTTTATATATAATAAAATACCTAAACTTAATAATAGTATACAAGTAGTGTACCGGTAAATTGCAGCGGTGCTTTTTTAGAAGAGCTTGAGGCCTCAAATCCTGCCCCCACTTGAGTCCAATGCTTTTTTTAATAAAATAAAAGACGTCGATTTTTTTAATAACAAAAAAAGAGATCGTGCCCGGGAGTCTTTGAACCACAACCATGAGGTAGCATCAATGTTTGTAGTGGCCAACAAGCCACTTGGGTGCAACAAGAAAAAGATTGTGAATAATAATAATATATAAACAAAATCGGTACATGGTAATAGGCCTCACTTGCCTCGGCCGAGTAACTATGTTGAGTCCGAGTCACTTTGGCCTAAATCCAAAAACTCTTATCTTTTTGTCACATTGATGAGGCATCTAATGACAGCTGTTAGATATATATTTTGACATTATGGCCACGTTTGCCAGCAAGAACTTTGGACGCAAAGCATCCTGAATTCCAACTTATGACCTTAGTTTCAAGTTTGATTAAATATTTTTTTAAGACGTACATCATTCTCCAACTTATGCCCTTAGTTCCAAGTTTGATTAAATTTTTTTTTAAGATGTACATCATTCTAAAAAATTAGGATCGCAGCCCTCCACCTCACCCCATGGAAAGCTATGCTTCGGAAGCATAAATCAGAAGCCGTGGAAACCCCACCCCATGGAGAGCTATGCTTCGAAAGCGCAAATCACACACCGTGGGAAGACAATTTTGTCCAGTCAATTTGCCTGCGGGAAGACAATTTTGTCCCCCCATGGAGAGCTATGCTTCGGAAGGGCAAATCACACGCCACGGGAATCCCACCCCATGGAGTGCTATGCTTCGGAAGCGCCGCGGGAATCCCACCCCATGGAGTTCAAAAGTGCCGCGGGAATCCAACCCCATGGAGTGCGGTCAAATCACAAAGTGGTATCAAATCACACGCCCTGGGAACCGCAAATCACATGTCTCGGGAAGGTAAATTTGTCTCGTCATTTTATTTTTCCTCTCTTCCGTCTCAACCAGTGCCGTAGGAAGACAAATTTGTCTTGTCACTTTGCGCACGGGCTTAACCGTCATTTTACTTTATTTTTCCTCTCTTATGTCTCAGCCAGAATTTTGTCTCGTCACTTTATTTTTCCTCTTTTCCATCTCAATCAGTGCTGCAAGAAGACAATTTTGTCTCGTCACTTTGCACGCGGCCTTAACCATCTTTTTACTTTATTTTTCCTCTCTTCTGTCTCAACCAGTGATTTAAAACGTCGCGATCGCGCGGTTCGATTCGTTCGGTTCTCTTCTCTAGAACCAGACTTTATTAGTGATTTCAGTTCTCTTCTCTAGATCCAGACTTTATTAGTGATTTAAAATGCCGTGATCGCCCGGTTCCGCGATCAAAACTAGTTCAATGAGGGTGCACTGCAATAGTGTGTGTCCTACCCATTTTGGGTAATTTGGCCATAACTTGGTCTACAGACGTCCGATCAAGCCGAAACTTGATCTCTGGGGGTTTTCAAACGTTTCGGATCCATTGGAAGTAGTCCCATAGTAGTTTGACACTCTAGTGATAGAGCTATACTTATAAGGTCTATTTTCCAACTGCATCTGCACTGCCTTAAACATGCTTCTCCAACATCATCCATATCAAGGGGAGTAAGAGAGGAGAAAGAATTCTCATCATTGGAATATCGAGGGGAGTAAGAGGGGAGAAAGGATTCTCATCATTGGAATGGGAGTCTTCAATCACTTTCTTTTCTTTGCCCCTGAGCTGGGCCTGGGGCGTGTTTGGGGATTCGGTTCATTCGGTTCTCATTTGTTGTATCTGCACTGCCTTAAACATGCTTCTCCAACATCATCTATATTGAGGGGAGTAAGAGGGGAGAAAGGATTATCATCATTGGAAGGGGAATCTTCAATTACTTTCTTTTCTGACCCTGAGCTGGGCCTGGGGCGTGTTTGGGGGTTCGGTTCGTTCGGTTCTCTTCTCTAGAACGGTTCGTTCGGTTCTCTTCTCTAGAACCAGCTTTTATTAGTGATTTAAAATACCGTGATTGTCCGGTTCCACGATCGCCCGGTTCGGTTCGTTCGGTTCTAGACTTTATTTTTCCTCTCTTCCGTCCCGAGTCTGATAGATCATTTTTTTTTGCAAGGGTAATTGATATATTTTTTTTCAAAATAGGGGGACTCTATCCTTATGAGTTGATGTCACCACACTGACCATCACGAGACCCATGCCCCATTCAATTGTTATTAATGTGCTGGTGCTCATATATTTTATACACGTTAATTTTCGTTGAAGTTTTCGATGTGGGACAATTTCCATTGTAATAGTTTGAAAAGATAATATAGCCTTTCATTATGAAACTTAATACATAAAGTAGTGTTCTGATGTAGTGGTTATCAAGTGTATTTTACATGCTAGAGGTCTCTAGTTTGAACCTACACAAAATTTTTTTTAAAAAAAGTAAAACGTATCTCAAAAAAAAATTCTTTTTGTCAAAAAATAAAATAAAATAAAGGTGCCAATAAATAAAATAAACATTTAAAAGGTACCAATAAATAAAATAAAGGGCAAGCTTGTTTTAAAAAATAAAACGTACCATCTTCCTATTTTTCTTGTCAAAAACAAATTCATTTTGTCAAAAAATAAAATAAAATAGACGGTACCAATAAAATAAAACATGTATCATCTTCTTATTTTTCTTGTAAAAAAAAATACTTTTGTCAAAAAATAAAATGAAAGGTACCAATAAATAAAGTAAAGGACAAATAAAGGGTAAGCTTTTTTTAAAAAATAAAACTGTATCATCCTCTTATTTTTCTTGTCAAAAACAAATTTTTTTTTTTAAATAAAATAAAAGGTATCAATAAAGGGCAAGTTTTTTTAAAAAAATAAAATATACCATCTTCTTATTTTTTTAGTCAAAAAAAAAAATTCTTTTTCTCAAAAAATAAAATAAAATAAAAGGTACCAATAAAATAAAAAATGCATCGTCTTCTTATTTTTCTTGTCAAAAATAAATTATTTTTGTCAAAAAATAAAATAAAATAAAATAAAAGGTACCAATAAATAAAATAAAGGGCAAGCTTTTTTTAAAAAATAAAACTTACCATCTTCTTATTTTTCTTGTCAAAAACAATAAAACGTACCATCTTCTTATTTTTCTTGTCAAAAACAAATTCTTTTTGTCATAAAAGAAATAAAATAAAAAGTACCAATAAAATAAAGGGCAAGCTTTCTAGGCTTACCCTACAATATAAACCTTATATACTTCCCCTTATCCAACCGTCCATTCTGAATGGAGGGCTAAGATTACCCCAATCACAATGTCATGTATACATTATTTTATTTTTAATTCTTTTTTATAAACTATATTGAGACCAAATTTTGGATGTCCATTCATCTATTAAACTCGCACTAGCGAAAAATATTAAAAAAATATTTTCAATAAAATAAAACAACCAAAATACCCCTGAAAATTTCAAAGGATATTTTGGTCATTATATTTTATCGAAAATTTATTTTAATATTTTTTATAGGTGTGCCCCAATGAAAAGAAGGCACGTACCAAATTTCATATTCATACA